GGATGCTTAACGCTGTCTGGTCACTGTGCAAGGATTTCAGGAAAACATCACGTGTCTATGTGGAGGGGAGACACACCCTCAGAGGATGCATCTTTTCTTCTATCTCTTGCTGCACTCCAAAATCCTGCCCAACCCTTGGGAACACAAAACATGCTCTTAGCCCCTTCATCTTTCTGTTTTTTGTTTTTTGTTTTTGTTTTTTTCCTGTCAGTAGAAAATTCAGTGGCTTTAATGAGCACACAGGGCCTGGGCCATTCCAAGGATGACTTGGAGGCTTTTGGAAAGGGGAATGTTGTGGAAAGCTGCCCTGAGCTGACCCACGCTGAGTATGGACATTCTTGAACTATAATCCACTTTTGGCTGGGGAAACTGTGGGCTTGGTTGACCCTAATGGTTAAACCAAAATTATTTTCCTTCTTCAAAATGATTTTCTGTTCTACCACCCCACCTACCTATTTATTTTGGGTGAAAATCAATAGATTTTTCCCTATAACGCTGATGATTTATGTATTTAAGTACAATGTACAAATTATTATCTGTCCTCATTCGCTGTTAGTTCACTGAGGCCAGGTTTTATGTCCATTTTTAGTTGTACATTTGAAACTTAAATAGTGTTAGGTGAAAGAGTCATTCTTCAAACTATGTGTCTTAGTCAATGTTCTGTTGCTGTAAAGACACCCCGACCAAGGCAACTTTTGGAAAACATTTGAGACTGGCTGACAGTTTCTGAGGTTTAGACCATTTTCATCATGGTGGGAGGCTTGGTAGCAGGAAGGCAGACCTGGTTCTTGAGAAGTAGCTCAGAATTCCACATCCAGATCAGCTAGTAGCAAGAAGAGGGAGACACTGGGCCTGGCTTGAGCATTTGGAACCCCAAAGCCCACCCCCAGTGACATATTTCCTCTAAGGCCACACCTCCTTCAATAAGACCATACCTTAATCCCTGTCAAGCATCTCTACTCCCTAATGACAAAGCATTCAAAAAAACTGAACCTATGGGGGGTGGGGCATTCCTATTCAAAGCACCACAAAGAGTATATAGTCAACATCAATACCCTTTTATTATAAAAGTCCAAGTATTTCTAGGTTAAAAAGCTAAGTTTGACTTTGTACTTTCTTTTTTGTCTTTCTTTCTTCCTTCCTTCCTTTTTTCTTTCTTTTTCTTTTTTCTTTTCTTTTTTTCTTTTTCTGTCCCGTGGACAGGGTTTCTCTCCGTAGCTTTGGCTGTCTTGGAACTCACTCTGTAGACCAGGCTTGAACTCACAGAGATCCACCTGCCTTTGCCTCCCAAGTGCTGGGATTAAAGGCATGTGCCACCACCACCCAGTTTATTCTTTAAATGAATTATAGAGAATGGAAGGTAAATAGTATACTATAAATAATATACATGCGCTCTGTGTATGTGTGCATGCGTTTGTACATGTGCTGTGAATGCGTGTCTTCAAAAGTACAGTTTCAATAACAGAAAATGCATAATGTAAGAATATACCTGCTATATCTTAGAAGCAAATTTTTAGGGATGGGGCATTTAGGATTTGGGTTTTATTTTGATACAGCACCTTACTGGCTGGCCTGGTACTTTTTATGTAGTCCAGCCCATCCCTAAACTTTAGAGGAGCAACAAGGGATAGAGAGAAAAATTCATAGCAGTTCTTCTGCCTCTGCCTCCCCAGTGACAGGATTAAACGTTTGTTTCCTCACCAGACCTGACTCAGAAGAAGTGTTTAAAGTTAGCTTTATTGTCATCTTTCTCATAGACACCTCACCCTGCAGCCTAATATTTACCAGTCATTCACCAAATAGTGAAATCAACCCATCCCCATGGAGACCAAATGCTTGCCTCACAGGGACTAAAAGCTTTTGAAGTATTGCCTCCTTTAGTGGTGAACTGCTACCTTATGAGGTGGGAGTTATTTTTCCAATTTACAGAGAAGGAAACTGAAGCCCAGAAGTTAAACATTCTCATCCCATTGCAGTATAGGGTACATCCAAGTGTTGCATCCTCTAGTGTCTGGGCACAGCTGGTGTGCTATCGTGATGTCTCTGGTGTCTGCGTCTTTGAACAATATGAAAGTTGTCAGTCTTCTGAACTGTAATGCTGGGAATTGGGGTTAGCAAAGGATACCCAAGAAGACATCATTCTTCGAGGAAACCACTGATGAACTATGGATTTTATTGGCAACAGAAGGCATGATAAGATGGGGCATTCAGAATGTCCCCCTTCTTTTGGGTAGGCACCTGAGCCATGTGCTCAGAGCACATGGGTGGTAGACATGAGAAGGTGGTGGTGATAATTAATGTTGTCTTTTTCCTCATTTTCTTCCTTTCCTTGTCTTGCAGGTGTTAATTCCTTCATGGTTTACATGGCCTACAAGGATTTATATCAAGTGTCCAACACAGAGGTAGCAACCCATTTGATTGTGTTGTTTGGATTGCCTGCAAGCATGGGTTTCCTATTGTTGCTGATGACCTGGGCCCTTGGAACATAAGTCATGGTGCTTACTGGTGTGAAGCCATGTCAGGCTGTCTATTGAAGCCCCTGCAGTCTACGCTGCATTTTAAAGAAGTGAATGGGACAGGTGCCCATGGCAAAGCAGAGAAGATCTTGAATTTCTACTCACAACAGTTGTCTTAAAGACTAAGAGGAACACTATTGTCTCCAAACCTCTTATAAACCTGGTGAAAATGTGGAGTTCTCTGCTTCTTAAGATTAGGAGGGCTTCCCGCTATTGGGTACCATCTTGGCTGTCATAATTGTATCAGGGGACCTCCTAGGAAACCATGGGTGTGTCTCAATTTAATAGATCTGAAACAATCAGGGGAAATGTAAGAAATTAGCACTCTTATCTTCTAGGTGGAGAGTAAGGGTGTGTTTGTCTTAAGAGGTTCAGATTAAGAGTTTGAGTATTGTATTAGCTTTGACCAGGCTGTCGGGGCCTTGTGGAACACTTGTTGAAAAGCATTCTGACACCATGTCTCAGCTCAGTGAGAAATTACTCCAGGAAAGATGGATGCCACAGACAAGGCTTGTAGATATTGGTCCTGTCTGTGTGAATCCAGACAAGTCTTTCACAGAGACAGAGCCTTCTAAAATGTCTTTGTGGTTTTTGTTGTTGTTTATTTGTTTGTTTTATTTTGATTTTGAGATAAGATTTCTCTGTGTAACCCCTGGAACTTGCTCTGAAGACCAGGCTGACCCTTAAACTCACAGAGATCTGCCTGCCTCTGCCTCCTAAGTGCTGGGATTAAAGGTGTGTGCCACCATGCCTGGCTAAAATGTCTTTGGACTACATTCATCTTTGGTTTAAGATATTGTTTCAGGTTTGGTTTTAGTAATTGGCCTTTATGTGAAGGTGCTAAAGGTGGCTGTGAGGTTGTTTGTTTCTATTTCAGCTCTATGACATCTTCACCTGTCTGGGAGAACTGGGGGCCATTGCTCAAGTTCATGCCGAGAATGGAGATATCATTGCCCAGGTAACATCGTGGATCAAACCTTTTTATGTGTGTGATCTTGGGTCTGCATCCCACCCATTTCCTCTCTTCAACATGACTTGAATGCCCCAAGAGTTCAAGACTACCATAAACACATTGGTAAAGCCAAAAATCCATACTAAAAAAGCTCATAGCTCTAGGCTCACACTTATAATCCTAACAAGGACTGACCATCAAATGTTCACAGCCATTAGATGTGATAGTGAGCTTTTTTTTTTTTTTTTTTGGTTTTTCGAGACAGGGTTTCTCTGTGTTGCTTTGCGCTTTTCCTGGGACT